AATTTCATACAGATCGGTTAATAACTTTTGTCATTAGAGCGTTCAGAAGGTGCAACAAAGTGAAACAAGGGCCATAACCCTGGCAGTAATTATCGGAAATCGCTGAAAAAAAATAGGCTTCTTTATTTCACAAATATCAACAACATATATCAATTTCAAAACAATCAGATAATAAATGTAGTCTGTAGAGTGTTCACAATAAATTGTGGACGACGGATGTACCAACGGGGGCGACGGCAATATACGACCACATTTTCAATGTGGGCATATAAAAAATCACAAAAAGTCTGATCACAGATCAGGCCTAATGTCATGGATATCTAGAGCAAACTTCAGATTTATAATAATTTAATACATTCTTGTGCAGTAGTGTAACATGGACACCCAGAGCAATATTTAAAATATTCATTCTCAAGTTGTTTTTGGTTTATACGCGTTTGTAAAAAGAGAAACCAATCAACCCAAATAATGTTTATTGATAAATGCTATAGGCCTATTTAAAATAGAATTTTAATATCTTGAATTATTTTATTTTTTAAAAATGAAAGCCTACATTAATTAATAGAACAAAAATCATAAAAGCACACAGTGAGTCAACGTTGGAGCCAAAGGTATTTTATCTTGGAAAACAACCAACGGCTCAAATCTGTTTATTGGAAAACGTTATATGCCTATTTGAAATTATTTTATATTTTAATAAAAGCTTACTTTATGCTGCCAGGCAGGATATGCCCACATTTTCGAGAGATGAATAGAGCACAAGCTAAAAAGAAAGTGATCTTTCCTATAATCAAAGGCCATAATTCAGGAAATTACAATTCGATATGCGCAAATATCAAAAGGAACCGAGATCTTTGGGTTATAAACTTATATTTCAAGTTTCAACAAAATTGGATAAAAATTGTGACCTGTATAGGGTCCACAATCTTGATATGCCATATCTTTACGCTATTTGAAAACGAGGGACGCCATTTTGTCTGTCAGTTTTGGGCCGATTTTCACGAAATACAAACTCTTCCGTCCTCAGGGTGTAACGGTGATATAATAATACGGTTTTTGAAATCGGATAAAAATTATGACCTCTATAGGGTCCACAAGCTAAAAACTCGATTTTTCGTACAATCAGGGGGCATAATTCAGGAAGTTACCGTACGATATGCGCGAATATCGAAAGAAACCACGATCTTTGTGTTATAAACTAACATTTCAAGTTTCAACAAAATCGGATAAAAATTGTGACCTCTATAGGGTCCACAACCTTCATATACCATATTTTTACGCTATTTGAGAACGAGGGGCGGGCATTTTGTCTGTCAGTTTTGGGCCAATTTTCACGAAATTCGAACTCAGCCATCCTTAGAGTGTAACGGTGATATAATAATATGTTTTTTTAAATTGGATAAAAATTATCACCTTCAATAGGGTCCACAAGCTAAAAATGCAATTTTTTGTACAATCAGGGGCCATAATTCAGGAAGTTACAGTCTGATATGCGCGAATATCGAAAGGGGCTGAGATCTTTGGGTTATAAACTTACATTTCAAGTTTCAACAAAATGGGATAAAAATTGTGACCTCTATAGGGTTCACAAATTTGATATACCATATTTTTATGCCATTTCAATTTGAGAACGAAGGGCGGCCATTTTGTCTGTCAGTTTTGGGTCGTTTTTCACGAAATTCGAACTCAGTCGTCCTTAGGGTGTAACGGTGATATAATAATACATTTTTTCAAATCGGATAAAAATTATGACCTCTATAGGGTCCACAAGCTAAATTCGCCATTTTTCGTACAATCACGGGCCATAATTCAGGAAGTTACGTTCCGATATGCGCGAATATCGAAAGAAACCGAGATATTAGGGTTATAAACTTGCATTTTAAGTTTCATCAAAATAGGATTAAAATTGTGACCTCTATAGGGTCCACAACCTTGATATACCATAATTCAGGAAGTTACAGTCTGATATGCGCGAATATTGAAAGGGGCTGAGATCTTTGGGTTATAAACTTACATTTCAAGTTTCAACAAAATGGGATAAAAATTGTGACCTCTATAGGGTTCACAAATTTGATATACCATATTTTTATGCCATTTCAATTTGAGAACGAAGGGCGGCCATTTTGTCTGTCAGTTTTGGGTCGTTTTTCACGAAATTCGAACTCAGTCGTCCTTAGGGTGTAACGGTGATATAATAATACATTTTTTCAAATCGGATAAAAATTATGACCTCTATAGGGTCCACAAGCTAAATTCGCGATTTTTCGTACAATCACGGGCCATAATTCAGGAAGTTACGTTCCGATATGCGCGAATATCGAAAGAAACCGAGATATTAGGGTTATAAACTTGCATTTTAAGTTTCATCAAAATAGGATTAAAATTGTGACCTCTATAGGGTCCACAACCTTGATATACCATATTTTTACGCTAATTGAGAACGAAGGGCGGCCATTTTGTCTGTCAGTTTTGGGCCGATTTTCACGAAATTCGAACTCAGCCGTTCTTAGGGTGTAACGGTGATATAATAAAATGGTTTTTTTTAAATCGGATAAAAATTATGACCTCTATAGGGTTTCACAAGTTAAAAACGCGATTTTGCGTACAATCAGGGGACATAATTCAGGAAATTACGATGAGATATGCACGAATATCGAAATGAACCGAGATCTTTGGGTTATAAACTTATATTTCAAGTTTCAACAAAATCAGATAACCAACGGCTGCCAGGCAGGATACGCCCACATTTTTCGAGAGATGGATAGAGAACAAGCTAAAAAGAAAGTGACTTTTCCAACAATCAAGGGCCATAATTCAGGAAATTACAATTCGATATGTGCAAATATCGAAAGGAACCGAGATCTTTGGGTTATAAACTTACATTTCAAGTTTAAACAAAATCGGATAAAAATTGTGACCTCTATAGGGTCCACAACCTTGATATACCATATTTTTACGCTATTTGAGCACAAAGGGCAGCCATTTTGTCCGTCAGTTTTGGGCCGATTTTCACAAAATTCAAACTCAGCTGTCCTTAGGGTTTAGCGGTGATATAATAATACTTTTTAAATCAGATAAAAATTATGACACTCCAGTCCACAAGCTAAAAATGTGATTTTTCATACAATCTGGGGCCATAATTCAGGAAGTTACGGTCCGATATGCGCGAATATCGAAAGGAACCAAGATCTTTGGGTTATAATCTTACATTTCAAGTTTCAACAAAATCAGATAAAAATTGTGACCTCTATAGGGGCCATAATCCATGAAGTTTCGATCCGATACATGCCAATATCGAAAGCAACCAGAGATCTTTTGGAGACAAACCTATATTTAAAGTTTCGTCAAAATCGGATAAGAATTGTGACGGGTAGAGTGTCCACAAACAAATTGCGTTCGCCCGGACGGACAGTGGCGACGACAATATACGTCCACATGAAAATGTGGGTGTATAAAATTTGTGACCTCTGTAGGGTCCACAAGCTAAAAACGTGATTTTTCGTACAATCAGGGGCCATTATTCATGAAGTTTCGGTCCGAAACATGTCAATATAGAAACCAACCGAGATCTTTTGGAGATAAACCTATATTTCAAGTTTTGTCAAAATCGGATAAGAATTGTGACCTGTAGAGTGTCCACAAACAGGGGTGACGACAATATACGTCCACATGAAAATGTGGGCGTATAAAAACAATAACTGGATCATACATTGATGGATTCACTGACCAGTTGTTAGGTAAATTAATATCTTCATTGAGTATAATCTCCTGATAGAACACCGACTACACCGAGAAACAGTCACTAATAATATATTTTCCCGATAGAATCTCCAATGCTGAATTCCAATGACACGTGACATATCGGTTGGAATTAGGTCAATAACCCAGTTTTAGATAGTGTTTACCGTTATGATTTTTTTATTATATAAACATTCTGACAAAGGCATAATTTTAAAAATATTGTTGTTTATATTGAAGGCTGTATCATAATTGTACGGAATTTTATTTTAAAGCAATTTCAATTATGGTTGTCACGTGACAATTGTGCCGCTCGTCTATTATCAACGAATGTATAAAAACATGTGTCAAAGATATTAGGTGAGGTTGATATTTCGCATGCAAAGACAAGCTGGTTACACAGAGTTTGAAAATGGGCGCATGTCCCTATTTGCATTAGTGTTATTTGATACGTGAATTATCATTTGTTATATATGCGGGAATTACTTTTTTCTTGGATAGTCCTATTTACCCAGGTAAGAATCAATAAATATAGCATTGACGAAACTAATAGGTTTTCATTAATTGCATGATTTTATATTCATAAACTTGCTTTCGAAACAGATTTGTTAATCTGAAGGAGGTTGGTCCAGATATAGGTAAATAACGATACTGTGTGCGATCAATTTGAAGATACTTGCATTTATAGCTCAGTGGTATGCACGATAATGTGTAAACAAATTAACTCTCAAAAAAGACAAATATATAAATAACTGCAGCCCGACTAGTTTGGTATGTAACTACAGCACATATAAATCCATGTATAAAGACCAACAATTAACAAAGACCGATCTGCGTAAAACACACCTACGTGTTAGATAAGGCCTGTTTGTCTTTAATAAAACACATGCAGTTATAACACGTTTTCGAGAAAACTCACCAAACAAAGAATACAGAAAACACACCATCAGAGATTTTCACCCCTAGCGATAATTAAATCACCTTTCAGTCAATGTCTCACCCCTGTTAATTAACACACCGTATCTACAGATTTTAGCCTCATGGTATTAGATTTGTTGCGATAATTAGAATTTTACCGATATTTGCACAAATTTACTAAATTAGTTAGAAATCTATACCGGTACCATATTTGCACAAAAATCACCTTTGATACTTCTCAGTGTATTGACCCCGTCACTTCTTTAAGATTGCCATGGGAACAATTATTAGCACTACAGTCCTGAACTATTACTAGTAAATTTTTTATGAGCATGCTTGCATACCTCCTCCTCTTGCACCTCCACCTCTACCTTGATAACATCCTGACTTATTATAGTTATTACTGTATCCTTGATAACCATCTGATCTATAATCATTTCGTGACTGATAGCCTTGATAATTACCACCTAAAATAAATAAGATAGGTTGCCAGGCAACAAAACATACGCCCACAGCAGCCAAATCGTCCAGGCAGTCAACAAGAGTTGTCGCATATTTTTACTTTTGTCGGTAATGAAACATTTATGAGCAGTTACATGAGGCGTTTTTGTGAACCGATTAGATTAGACCGATTAGCTATTATACGCATTTGTGAACCAAGTTGATTATGCTAATCGTTACATTTGTGAGACGATTTAACTCAACTGATTAGGCAAATCGACCTAATCGTCCCAGGAGGTGTTTAGGCGATTCGATTTGACTTTTTCAAAATGGCGGGATGTTCGAAGTCGTAAGTAATTTTTAATGCTTATTGTTGTTTTTCTCCATAAAAAATGTTTTTTTAAAACGCATTTGACGTGTTTAATGTTAACTTTATAGTCCACAAGAATGTTAGATCACCTCTAAGCAATTTTATTCATTTACAGTTTTTTCAATATATTCCTCGATCCTAGGTTTTCTCAGGACACTTTTTACATGTTTTGGTCACTTCAGTTTTCAAAAAAATACTTGAACTTGTTGGACATAGGAGATTGTTTCTAACGGCAACCATTTTTCCTTTTTTGCGTAGATAACCTTCATTTGTCTTTAACAAGTCATCAATAATTAGCAGAGACAATTTTTTTTTCTGATCGGTGTCCGTACCAAATCGTAATTATCAAATTTCACATTTGTGGACCATAGCTAATCAAATCAAAATCATACTAGCAAATCAAAACCTAATCTAATCGACTCACAAAAACGCCAATGGATTACCAATGGGAAGCCCCTTATCCCCAGTCCTCAGCGAGGTCTACATCTCTAGTTCAACCTAAAGCATGGTTCCGTAAGGTCGACGACATTTTCGTCATCCTCAATCAGAATGAAGACCCAAACCTCCTTCTCCATCCCCTCAACAACCAAAACAACAGAATTAAATTCACATTAGAAAATGAACAGAACCAATGCCTGTAGTAATATTGTCGTTGCGACATTGTTTTTAAACTTATAGACAAGGAATAGAGATGTAAGATGGTTTAAACATCTTTACAAATTATTCTCTATTGTCAGTATATTAGCTATGGTATGCGAATAACAGGAAAGGGGGTCTAAGTTCAAGGATAGATTGTGTCAAAAAACATGTGACTGGAAATTTACCTATTGCATCATTGGTTTAGTTTGACCAATCTTTGTAATTATTTACATCAGATTTGACCAATTAGATAATTGAAGGTCCAAACCCCAAAGCTACAAAACTATCATACTGGTGGGTGATTGTCAGACAACAGCTTGATTCCAGAAGGGGAAAGAAGTAAAAGTTTCTATCAGCAGACTCGCCCAACAAGTCTGGATGAATGAGTTTTAAGAGAATGACTTTATTCTATTATGCATTGTATCCATATGTGTAAGCAGCTATGATATATAAAAAAATGTAAAAACAAACTGTTGCATTGTTATTCCTGGTAAGACAAACGTCTAAAGAAAACAGTCAGAAGTAAATACACAACGTGAAGCATAAGCTAAGACAGCTAGAAACAAATTCTAGACGATCACAAGGTTATTAAGATATGTAGTAAGAAAAGATGCATGGATTGTACGTAGGATGTGGCGACCTGAGTTGGTTCCCCCGCTCTCCACATCTGACCCATTGTCTTACATGCCTCCCTTTCATAGACATCTTAGCAGGGCTCACACTGGCTTTCAATTTTTTTCTGCCAAAATTGATGATTTTTATATAAAAAAAATGTTCATATTTTTCCTCGCCAACTGGAATATTTTATCTGCCAAAAATGTGTGATAAAAAAGACAACATCTAACAATCTTATATCTCAGCTACACTTATTATTAAAAATTATAAAATACAATATACAACAACTATAAAAAAATCTGTCATTACATAATAGATAAGAAAAGTTTGGATTTAATAAGATCAGATTTTATTTTTGGTGACTTTAGTCTATTTGAGTACCGTACTGCACAATATATTTTCAGTATTTACACGTCAAATCTCATCCAGGGATTGCCAATTTATGTGTTGCGTGTACAATGGGACAAATTGTTATTTTCAGGTACCGTAGAGGTATCAGAATCTGAATCCCTGATAGAATGATATAAATTTCAATTTATTTGTAAGAGATGCTTACAATTATACCCGCCGTTAACTTTTAGAGCATTTTGGCGACGGTAATAGGATACAAATGGCAAACTGTTTTCTGGCTCAAGAATCGTCACTATTCAATTCGTTCTTACGTTTTCGACTAGTGGTAATAATATAATTTGAAATAATGATATCCAATATGCATGCTTGTATATTTTACATGCCGTGTATGAAACCATTGTAAACGGAATCCTAATAGTGGAACGAGTTTATTCCCAGTTCTTGGGAATTAAAGACGGAATGAATGTTTGTTATATATTCTGAACCAGTATGGTGTGTAGTATTCCAGAAAAATTCCCCCCCGACAATCGGTCTTGGGGAAATTTTTTTGTGGCCAGTTGAAAATTGGGCCCCGGTGATAACATGAAAAAAGGGGTAATTTGAGTAGGGATCAACTTTTTACGTTTCCTGACGAATTATCGTGGTAAAATCTCACACACAATTTACATAACGATCAGAGAATGATATTTGGGGATGACATAATCCATAATCATATGACGTTATCAAATGAAAATTCAATACGATAGTCAATATGAGCCCTAACTCCGAATCAGCATAAATGCAGCGAAATATAGGTCCTGCATGTCTCATGATATTGATCTGATGATCATTTTAATAAGTACCGTATGCTCCCATTTGTGCACTTATAATTAAACGTTTCTTTACGCCCATGGCTAGATATGGATAAAGAAGTGGATAACTATGGTGAAACACATGACAACGAAGTACCTGGAGATGTATGTGTTATATGTGAGACTGGATTTGAGGAGCAAATCGCGACAAAAATGTACAAAAAAGGGATGTCCACGCTCAGACGTTATTGTGAAGAGAGGCGATCAGTCCTTACTAGACAGATTAGAAAGAGCACAGTCAACCTGTTTCGTGCATGAAGTTTGCCGTAGGCAGGATACGGACTAAAGACAGAGCCTCGGTGCTGATGATCGTAGCATTGACGGTTCTAGTGAACAGTCTAAGCCTAAAAGGCTTCGTTCGCATGAGTCCACATTTGACTGGAAAATTAATTGTTTCCTGTGTTCCGAACCAGCGGCAATCGATCCACGACATCCCGATCGTGATCAGGTCGTAGAGGTACGTACAATGGAGGTTTGGGATACCATTATTAAACAGTGTAGGCTGGCAAAAGACCATCCTTGGTCGGAAACTGTCCTGTCCAGATACGGCTTTATGACTGCTATGACACATTTACGGTCATAAAGGAGATGGCGGACTAGCTCGCTTGCGGTTCACAAAATTTAGAACGATGATGGCCGAAAAGAACCGGATTGACGTCGAGCGTATGCCCTCAACTGATAGAGCGGCACACTTCCACGCACTAGAGTACATTTGCAAGTAGTCGTATGGGCAAAATTGAACGAATCTGCATTGGATCCAACAGAATGGGGATGGGTGAATGACAGTGGATCTTATAATGAGCCAGTCCAAATGGACTTGCCACCAGCTCCCGACCCGGTACTCAACTTTTTGAGGTGTAAATGCAAGTCGATCCGGAACCAATGCGGCACAAAAATGTGCACGTGCCGTAAAAATGGTCTCAAATGTGTTGATGTATGTCGCGGTTGCCGCGGAGAGAACTGCACGAATGTGGAAGCAGTTGATCTGGATGACGATGGGGACTAATCGGTGAGTCACGAATATTATTTTCCCGGATTTAATACTGTGTTAAATGAGTTTTTACTATGTTAATCGTACTCAGATGATATTTAAACCTGTGGATAGACATATTACAAGATATATTTAACTTGAAATTGATAACTTATTAGATAGCTGCATTTTGGCCGCCATCTTGGATTTCAATGATGACGTCATATGATTTCTGATTTTATTATCACCAAATATTATTCTCTGATCGTTTTGTGAATTGTGTTCGAGATTTTACCATGATAATTCGTCAGAAAATGTCGAAAATCTATTCATACTGAAACTATCCCTCTTTTTATGTGATCACCGGAGGCCAAAATTTCAACCGGCCACAAATTTTTTCCCCCCGAAACCGATTGACGGCGGGAATTTTTCTGGAATACTACACCCCATACTGGTTAAGAATATGTAACAAACATTAATTTCGCATTAATTCCCAAGAAAGATATACCGCTACTAGCCTAATTCGGCTATCAAAATAATTAATTCTCTTCAAAAGGAACTGTCGGCCATATTGATTTCATGTATTACCATTCTTTTTAAAACGAAACGAAACATCAAATAATCACAGCTTGGATTAATCATTAGGAGTAAATAATGACTTGAGATAGGCTTTATATATCATTGGCAATTACCAATCAACTAATCATAATCCAGGACAACTGATTAGTATTACTCATTGACAAGATCCAGATTATCAGCCAGTTGATTAATTTAAAGTATCCCGCCATGTGATTGACACTTAATAATGATTAATCAAGGATAGATACGATTAGATTTTGAAGATTTTTTTCCGCTGGTTCTCAAAAAGAATTGCCAAAACATTATCGCCAAAATCAATTTTTAATCGCCACTTTTTATCGCAAATTGAGACTTTGGCGACCAACAGTGTGAGCCCTGCATCTTAGTAAAGAGATCTGCAGACAAACTGAATACAAGCGTATATAGAAGGCCCACACATACTGATCAGTATATAAATTTTAAGCCGAACCATCCACATAGTGTGAAGAAAGCCACCATTACCACTCTAGCGCGCCGAGCCATCAACATCTGCGATGATCAATCCATAACAACAGAACTTGACCACATAGAAACAACTCTCACTAATTTCAACAATTAGTCAAGAAAATTATTAAGACAACCACTAAGCCTTCCACAGATATTAGAAAACCA